TATTGCATTATTAGCTATTAAACATTTTTATATGTTTGATAGCTAATAATAAGAAATGTACAAATAATGCAAGTTAAAAAACAAGAACAACAACAATAGAAACAGCAATGATAGCATCAACAACAACAATAACAACAACAATAGCAACAACATCAGCAACGACAATAACAACAACAATAACAACAACAATAGCAACAACAATAAGAACAACATATCTACGCCATTGAATTAATAAAAAAAATTATTTAAAAAAAGAATTTAAAAAAGAAAATAAGGAATGAGCATGCATTTATGGTAGAATAAATTTGAAGCTTTCTTTATTTTCTTCTGATTAATGTGTGAGTGAAATAGATTGGATAGAAAGGAAAGAAAGAGGGAGAGAGAGAGGGAAAGAGAGGAAGAGAGAGGGAGAGAGAGAGGGAGAAAAAAAAGGAAAGCTTTATTGATTATATAATTTCTGATTAAATAAATATTGAAGAAGGCAACATATTTCATCTTCAACTCTTTTTTTTCTTCCCTAAAAAAAAAGAATTATAAGAATTGATGAAAAGAATGTAATAGACGAAAAAATGAAAGTTAAAAAAAAAGAAAATAAATTTGTTAACATATTATCATTTAAATTTAAATTGTTCGGTCATTTAAATTCATTTAATATATCAGTTAAATCGAACTTTTAAATTATATTTGTTTTCTTCGAATCCTTCGCTTTTTTTTCTCAACAAAATATTCAACAAAGTATTAGGAAATGAAAATGGAGCAATTCGGGAAAAGTGCATTTTGTGATATGATATTAGGGTGACATTAGGGTTAAAGGTTAGATGTTTAAATTATTGGTCGTAATGAGATTTTTGGATGATTTTTATCACTTCGCCATCTTTTATCCTGTTATTAAAAATAATTTTCCTACTAAAATTTTCAATTTAAACTGTTTGTTCCCAAAAAAAAAAAAAATTCAAATTGCATCAGATTGACTTACTTTTTTCTTTTCAATCAATCCAATTTTCTTGTAATTTTTAATGATAGTTTAATTAATTAAACATTTTGAAGATATATAATCTCTAATCACTTTTATCAATTGATATACAATTGTGGCATGAAATTTATCATATCAGTCAATTTATTATATCCTTTATTAGATCAAAAAAAGAGAAGGAAAAGTTGATGAAAAGGGAAGTTGAAATTTTGAAATCTAATTAGGGAGTGATAGTAAAGGATAACAAAATTTTATAATCCAACAACTTAAAAATAGATTTTCATAAATGCAGAAAAACAATTTGAAATAATTGTGATATGAAAAACTCATTGAGAAATTCATCTATTACATATCATTCATTTTTTAGACATGTCTTTTAATTTTATTTTTTTATTTATTTACTTAGTTATTAATTTATTTACTCATTTATTTATTTACTCAATTATTTATTTACTTATTCATTTATTTGCCCATTCATTTATTTACTTATTTATTTATTTATTTACTTATTTGTTCATATCTATATTTATGATTAATTAATATCATTCACTCAAAAATTTAATTGATCCAATCTGTCCTTTTCTTCAACACAACACTTATTTTCTTGCAATACTTTAAAAACATATTGATTGCTTTATCGTAATTTCATATTTCAATTAAACCAGGATGAAACATTTATGATATGATAAGACAGCTATGATATGATAAAACAATTGTGATATGATGAATAAAAAATTTTTTAAAATTTTTACTACAGAAAAGAAAAAGATAAAAAGAAAAACGAAATAGGAAGAAAGTAATCAATGCAAAATAATTATTTGATAGTAATTGACTTTGATTACTTATTTCAAATCCATCAATCATTTTTATTAATGTTTAACTTTTTTCTTTCCATTTTATTAATAAAACTTTTTTATAAATAACCTTGTTATTTTTTTTTTTTTGTTAAAATTTATAATTGACTCATATAAAATTTTAAAATCACTAATTTTACTAATTTTATTGGTAACAGTTGTTTTTATAATTAGTTTTTTTTAACGATTGTTGAAGAAAACAAATAAATAATTGGTAATTTTTTCTTCTCTCTCAAATTTTCTTCAATTTATAACAATTATTTTTATTACAATGCCTGAAATAGATAAAAATATTTAATTTAAGGAATTCTTCTTCATTTCTCTTTTTTTTTTGCTCCAAAAATTGATTTAAAAAAGAAAAAAAAACTTTTAAATATTTTAAAACAAACAATTTATTCCATAAAAGACATTTGCATCTGAAATATGATAAATCTGATTGAATTATTTTTTTTTTAATAAAATGACAATTTATAAATTTTGCAAGACAACAAAATGAAAGTTATAATGATTGAAAAATTTTTTTATAAATTTTAAATTAAAAATCGAAAAAGAAAAAAAAATTTTTTTCATTTAATTTTAATAAAAATAAAATGTTTGTTGATGCTTGCGCTTATTACAAATAATTTTATATCATTTGTTTATCGGAAAATATATTTCATCCAATTATTTAAAAGATTGCAATTTTACTTCCTTTTCCTTTTCCTTTTTCCTCTTTTTCTTATTTCTACGTAACGAAAAAGAAAAATTAAAAAAATAAAAAAACATTTTTTTAAAGATAAAAAAAAAACGAAATCGAATGAACAATTAAAAAATGAAAAAATTGATTGATTTAATTAATATATGAGTTTAATTTAAAAAAAAAAAAAAAACAAAATTATTAAAACTATCAGTGATTAATTAATAAACAAATAAATGAATTTAAATATAAAATATAAAATTTCATTTTGTTTGAAAAATCATTTTTCCACATTTTATTTATTTTTATTAGCTTCTAAAAAGAAAATTCATAGATTTTACAATACTTTTTACAACATTATTTTACTCTATTAAAATAGCGTACAATTATGAATTAATATGCAAAATATTTTAAGGAAAAATATACTTTTAATTTTAAGCAAATATTTATTTTTTCCAAATAATTTATCAAATAGTAATATTAAAAATAATTTAACTAATTTAAAACTCAAACATTTCTCATATCTGAAATTAAAAGCAAATCATTTTTCAATACTTTTGTATTATTCCCACACTTTTTAGCTATATTAATAATTATCATTTATCCCAATTCTCCTTCAAATGTTAATAATTATCATAAATTATCAATGATAGTAATAAAATTGAATAATTGAAAATTTAAACAATAAATTAAAATTGTTATAATTTTTATCTATTCTTTTCAATAATAATTTAATTCATTTAATTAAAGAATTAATGAGAATCAATGATGTAAATAAAATAATATTAATATTAACAATTATAAATTAATAACAAATTAGTTGAAATTTGTGGCAAACAATTAATCATCAAAGTATATTATTATTTGTCAATAAAGAACTGAAATGAAATAATTCGAATAACTCAATTTTTCTTTTTTTTTTCTTTGGAAATCAAATTTGTAAATGCATTATTTCATGAATAACTTTTAATATTTGTTAGTAATTTTAAAAATTTGTGACTAATTTAAAGCCTAAAAGGTTATCGAAATTTTTTTTCTTTTTTTTTTGATATTTGTAATGATGAATCAATTGTAATTGCTGAATATTAGTAAATAATTCGCTATTTAACAAAGCGCTATAAAATTGTAAACTTACTTTTGAAATAATTTAAGTATTTTAAGCAATATTTTTTCTGCTCAAATTACATTGCAAATTATTTTTATTTAGATTAAAAGAAATTTAAATGTGAATTTTTGTTCATATATTATCACAAATAAATTTTATTGTATCAAATATTATAAATCTATTAAATATTAGAAAGGTAAACAGAGATATTATTTAAATAATTTATTAAATTATGCTATCACTTCTATAAAAGTTGAACAATTGAAGATATCATTCAGAATCAATGCACTAATAATAATTATCATTTCTTCGAAGCATTTGCAGCACTTTCAATATTTTGTCACACATCGATGCATCATCATTGATTGATTTATTGATTGATCAACTTTGTTCAATCAGTCAATTAATTAGTAGAATTGAGAGAATTGACATAAAGTGGGAAAGGAGATTTAGTAATAATAAATTAGCCTAAACTGAACAACAGACTACTGAAGAGTTAGTGGGTTAACTGTGTGAAAAATAAATATTTGTGGACAGAAAAATTTATTTTGTCACATAAATCTTTATGAATGAATCTTTGTCAACCTATCGATATATGCAATTCTGAAGAATGGCATCATTTGCTGTAACAGTTTGTTTGAATTTTTTAGATGCGGAAACTACGAAAATATGGCATAACTTAATGGATAAATCTTTGCATAATTAGGATTAAAATCCTTGTAAATTTATGCTTTAATCCCATTGCATATGTGAGTTTTCTTCTTTATCCAATCTAATGTTAAGTTAAGCTGTACGTCACTCTACACGTCACACGTACCCTATAGAATAGAATAAAGTATACATGTATAACAGTTTCGGAAGCAGTAAAGAACGAGACGACTTAAATTTGTTTTTGCAATTTCTATTAGATATTCCACAAAATGTTAGTCACTGCAAGATTTTACAAGAATAACGATAAAAATTCAATGATTATATTACTTTCGAATGATTACCATGTTTTTATTTCCAATACTTGCCTCTTTTTAAATGTAATAAAGAAGGATGGTGAAACAATGAAATTTTGAATGAGGATGAACTGCATATAAAGTGATCGATTTATTTGTGAAATTGGTTTTTTGAGCTAATTTAGTTTCATTGAAAAATGATAACAAGTGATATAGGCTGCGACAAATGATGATCTTTTTTTTTTTTATCTAAGCATAACAGTAATACAAGTGTTAACATCAATCTCATATAAGAACAGAGTGAAAAACTCAAAACTGGCAACCGCGATAACAAAATATACTGGTCAGCTATCAGCGAAAAATACAAGTGTTAACATCAATCTCATATAAGAACAGAGTGAAAAACTCAAAACTGGCAACCGCGATAACAAAATATACTGGTCAGCTATCAGCGAAACGGACTTCCATTAGTAATTCGTAATTCTGAAATAAATAAAATTTGAAATAATGAATAAATGTAATAATAACACTTATTTATGGTTATAATCCACCTTCAAGCCATCAGTAAAGGACATTGAATCAATTTTCTCAACCATCAAAGTATTCATTCTGCAAAAGTGGCAGTGGCAGTTATGCATATTTTAAGAGTGCGGTTTTATATAAAACTATATCAAAATTTTCAAAAACTTAATTTCAATAAAAATTGTTTCACAAAATATACCATTTTCAAGCTCTACAGCTTTCGCCCAATAATCCTCAGCAACGATTTTCTCACCGTTTAGTGATGTTAACAACCTGGAATAAAGTAAAATAACCATAGCTGCAAATCATATGCCATCAAGTACTGATAACTTACTTTTTCTTAAAAACTTGATGCAAATTTAGTTAACAATAAAAATATTTCACCCGATCAGTCAACAAAAATTAAAGTAAAAAAATTACTGATAACAAATAAATAAAGCTTAAAAAACACGTATGCTAGAAAACTACTTGGAGAGTATTAGCTGTCGGTGTAATCTGGCTGAGTTATCATCCGCGTTTCTACACATGCGTTGCATACTTAAAAAACTTTCAACTGCCATCTGAAATTTCAAATACATCACAGGATACTTCCTATTTTATCTAAATTTTTTGAAATACCTCTTCAAAAAAATCCTTTAACAAATTTGAAGTACTTACTTCTTCTACAATTTTACAAATACTGACGTCGCAAAAGTTTTTGGAACAAGACAAAAGTGCATGGCGACAAATATGAAGTTCATTTTCATGTGTTGCAGCAAATTTTCGCACGAAATCCACATCTTTTAGATAAGATTTAGGCATAATCATTGCAAATTCTTCCTAAGATATTCAACAAAGTATTAGAATTTAATGCTTGAAAAAAACAAAGCAAAAAACATTCAAAACTTTGATCCGTCGGTAATTGAACAACAATAATTTCAGTAGTGTGATTGTCTTTCTGATATCAATCATCATATCGTACATATATCTAGTCATTTACTATCAATCATTTTTTTATTTATATTTGTATACAAATTCAATAAGTACAACGAGATGAAAAAAGGAAAATACCTGGCCAAGGAAACATTTTTCGCCGCTCAAAACAATTACGTTTGCGTTGGATTCTATTTCAACTGTTTGATATGGATAAATGAATGGTATTTTTCGAGTAGACAAGAACTTTTTGATCAAATGACAATTTTCACGTCCTACAAATATCTGGTAAGAGAGTTGCAACCTACACAATGTAATTCGCTATATCAGAACTGAATTATTAAAGATTTAAAAGTTCAGAATGCTAAAGGTGAACCACAAAAAAATTTTTTTTCACATTCATTCTTCAGAGCAATAATATCAACCAACCAGCTCACATTTAATATGCATGTACTCGTTTTCAGAAAAAAAAAAACTGACAACGCATATCTCCGTTTTTTAAGAAGTATTCAGTTTGATTAAAAAAAAGACCTTTTTTAGTGAATAAGAAGTTTCCTGCTGATAAGTTGGTTTCGTCGATAATGATTAAAGTATTGTCGGATACTTGTAGCAAACCTTGTTCAAAACCACTCTGAGGTCTCTCGTACGATGCCCACGATTTTTCCATTGTTTTCTCCATCACCTCGATGACATGAACCTGTAATTGGTCCCTCGGTTTTTCTGGAAGATTTTCCAGTCGACTTCAAATTCATGAAGTTGAAAATGATAGTTGCTAATCGCTACAGAAAGAAAGACAAAAAATTTCCGATATCGTCTCAGATTTTTCACTTTTATAAAACAATGCTTTTAAATCAATTAGCACTTCAGCTATTGTTTAATAAAGAATAATATGACTCATATTTAAGTATTTTTATATTTCGTCACTTCACATTGTAATGAAATGACTCTTCCAAGATGCATTTATGTTAAACACTGAGTACTTAATACACCCAAAACTAACAACTGAAAAAAATACATAAAGTACCTGCTGTTTCTAAAAGTAGTTCTATAGGTAACCAAAAAAGAAAAAAGTTGAACATACTTTTGGCATAAAAAGCTTGATCATTTCAATTAACAATTTGCTGTTAAATACCCTTTTCATCGTATATGGAAAGGTATATTCCATCGATCCAGATGGTTGAGAGTACCTGAAATCAAGTTAAAATAAGTTCTAGCTTCACCAGTAACTACTTCAGTAACTCCTCCGACCAGTCAAAAAAGAAAAAAGACTAGAAGAAAGTAACTTACCGTGAAATGAACAAGTGACATACTAGAGATTGCGCAATAACTTTACTTCCGAAAAGTTGTTCGAAAGCATAAATCAGTGATTCAAATCCTTGCATATTTTTATACTTTAGTACCTAAAAAAATTTTTACGGTAACAATATGATAGTGCTGAAGTGTCTGTATGGATTTCTACTAAAAAAATCAAGAAATCAGTATTTGAAACGAAGTAAAAAGTACTGTGAATAACTCTCTTTACAATATTTCCTTAAAGAAACAACTGGAGACAATATTTCAATTCTTTGCAGTTTAATGTTAACAAAAATCTAAACAAAACCGTATGTCAGTCAAACAATAGCATCCAACTTTCTTGAGTTTATACTGCAGTTTAGAGTGTGAAGTTTAAAAAAATCGATACCTCCGGATGAGCTAATGAAACAATATCGTGATATTCAACTGGTTTGTAATGAATAACATGTAATGACATCATGCTTACTGAACTTTTTGTATCGTCATCATCTCTAAAAAAAGTTTTAGAACATTTATCACCACATTAAAAACACAATAAAAAATGGAAATAGAGAAGAAACAACGAAGAGATAAATAGCAATAATATCTTAGGATAATTCAATCATTTATAAATTGAAATTAGCAATGATAAATTAATAATTACATACACTTCTATCATTTACATTTTCATAATTTGTCCAAAAAACTGTAAATTCGAACAATCACTTACTCATTTGTTATTTCAGTTAAGTCCAAAATGCCATACAAATCAAACACAACATTTGGTTTGAAATCTTCACTTTCCTCGTCATAGAACTGAAAAGATGATTTCTACAGGGATTTTAGGTATCTTACGCATAACCATTCACTAGTATAAAAAACCATATACATTTGTCATTCAAGAAACCCATTGAATAAAATTTCTAATTAAATGACTTTTAAATAATGTGAAATGAATTACCAGAGCATAAGTTCGCGATTCATTATTTTTGAGAAATGCTTCACAGGATGTTTGATTGTTTTTGCCTAAAAAGTTTGTATTACAAGAATAATGTATTATTTTGGAATTATTTTTTACTCGTTAGCGCTACAGATGTTTGAGAAAAATTATGAAATAAAAAGCCTAAACAGATCGTTGCAATGAACTAATAAATACCCTTTGACTATATAAATCTCTTAGACTAAGAAGAATTAGACTAATTCGTTGTATCACAAATGGCTCAATATTAACCGTTGAAAGTGTCTAAGTACCAATCTGTCACTCCTCTTTCTGGTACCAAAATGTAAGCGTTTCGACGAGTCATACCTTTCGTTTCTTTGATATTCTAAAAACCAAAGCACTTCACTTTGAAAACAAGGAAAGCAACGAATGAAACAAAATCTAAATTACAAATCAGTATCACGACTGGAAAATAAAAAATAACAATTCACGAAAATCAACAAATCAATCTAACTGAGCAGTTGATGTGACTTCTTAAAATTCCACAAACTGTTCGAGTACTACCATCTTCTTCTTCCGTAATTACTGAATTCAATGCGAATAATGTTTGCACCCCATTAAGAATCATCCCACGCATCCGAACCAAATCACCATGCTCCGCATGACTCGTATGGAGACATTTCCAATCCTGAAGAAAGTTAAAAAATAAAATTAGGAAAATCCAGCAGTCTTCTTATCGTACATTCCATTTCACATCAGTTGCACTCAACTTCAATCAATAACTGACCCAGTGTTCATAGAATAAACTTTAAATCCAGATAATTAGTCTTCAACGACTTGTATTTAACACCCGACATTATTATATATTTTGCATTATTGCATGTAATTCTATAACTACGAGTAAGAACAGTTAATCAATGACAGACGACAATAGCATTTTCAGCCACATATCCTCCAATATTTACCTTAAATTCATTCCTGTATTTTTCCTTTAGTTTTTTAATTAGTTTCAATGGATCATTCGTATATTCTGCGACATTCTCTGTAACGATTACTTTCAATTTGTTCAAACTAAGATTTTGTTAGAAATATTTATAGAAATTCTAGAGACTCGAACATGTAATCAGTCCATTTAATTACAAAGCTTCAAATAAAAGTAAATTTCATTTGCTTTTACTTGAAAGTCCATAAAGAATAAAAGAGTATAAAATTTAATCTAGTCAAAGTTTTGTCCATAACTAGTCCACTAAAATTTCAGCTGAAATGTTTACTATAATTCCTTGACTTTCAAATATGAGAATATAAACAAATTCTCGTGTGCGATATTTTCCGGAATATTTTTCTTTTAATAACTCATTTTTTTATAACTCATTTGTTTGATCTTTTTTCCAACATGAAATTAACGACATAAAAGAAAATTGTTACGAAAAACATCTCACACGCATCACATAATCATAGGACTTTAAATTTAAGATATTAATGTTAAAATCAAATAATTCTGAAAAGTAGCTTACCATATATAAGGAAGTAAAAGAATAAAGTAATAGGGGAGAAAAAAAAACAGGAAAAGAAAGAAAAATGACATAAATAAGAAATTAATCAATTAATTAAATGAATGAAATTAACCGAAAAATATATTATCCACATCATCATATATGCAATCTTCGTCACTTTTTCGTGATTCTCTTTCAGCGCTGCATTGAAGAGTGGAATTTCTATTCTGTGTTTTTACATTTGCGATATTCTGTGAATGAGTTGGACTATCTAGCGGATGAGCCACATTTTGGTTAGAATCATTCTCCATGTTTTACAGAAAAGGTAACTGAAACTTTTAACAAATTTTAATTAGTGAAAACAATAGTGAAAATTTCTCTATCGTTTTAGTAATAAAACAGTTTACGAATAATTTGGATTAAATAACTAGCACCAGTAAAACTTGATCAAATCAGTTGATTACAAAGAAAACATTGAACAATATAAGCAAAGACCGCTTAATTACACAGCACTGATTCTATTATTTTACTCTGACAATATCTTTCCTTATCTTCGCCATGTTTCACAGAAATATATCAATAATTACCTCATATGTAAACTTTATCAAATAATTACATCATATGTGAACTAAGCATATATTCAAATTAATTAAAAAAGCAAAAATTGCTCCTTTCTATCAATAATAACAATGACGAACAACTTATTCCATCCGTACTATAAGGACTGACAAAAGGTTAAAGGTCGAACCCCAATATCAAAACAAACACAAATTGAATTTAAATTTTAATTTTCATTTACTTCGTTATTTGACCAAAGGTCATTGTGAAAATTGCCATCCCACCAGTGGAAAAGTTATCTGAATATTTCTTCTTTGTGCTATTTTTCTCACTGTCACACTTTCATTTTCCTTCTTTTCCTCTCCCTCTCTTCCTCTTTTCTTATTTTTTGTCTTTTTTACTCTTTCCTTGCTTTCTTCTGCAATTTAAAAGTGGAAAAGTATTTTTTCTTTTGTAAATTTTCATAAAAAATATTCTTAAATTGATAAATTTTTTAAACTATAAACCATTTCAGCCCAACAATTTATAACAATTTTTTTCTTTTCTCTTCTATCAAATGAAAGAAATGTGATTTTATGAATGAAAATATCATTGATATTCTTACAATATATGAACAATCCTGAAAAGGTTTCTTTTCCTTTTTTTTTTTTTTTTACACATTTAAATTCGATGGATAAGTATTTACTCATTATTTAATGTATTATGGATGATTGAATTGAAATTTATTATTGAAGCAAAATAGTAAGGAGAAAATTATTGAAAACAATAGGACAGTTTACATTATCTTTGTTATTGTTAATGTTTCTTTAAGATTATTCTGCTGATCTGATATTTTATGCAAACTAAGTAATACGTAATATTTTTATCTTTCTTCTTTTTCTTGTTGAAATCATAATTTCCTATTCTAAATTTATTGCATAGCTATTATAGATTACTAAAATGTTTTATCTGTTAAAAAGTAGTCATAAGTTTATGCGAATTATTTGAACTGATTCTTTCAGTTTTTTTTTTTTTTTTTTCTTTCCTTACCAATTAAATTTTGCAGTCAAATGACAACGACTAAGAAATGCTTTCAAACAATTTTAACAGTCTTGATTATAGGAAAAATAATTATGATAAGTAATTTTTCAGGTAATAAAACCATCAATTTCGACTTTAACATTTACTGATAATCTGTACTGATCAATTGAATCGAATTGAAGTATAATCTCCACTAATCAATTGAATCAATTTATATAGAAATCACATTGGTAGGATGCATGCTTGCATCTAGAATTATTATTATTATTATTACCGTTATTATTAATTATTAATTATGAGATTAACTTCTCAATGTACACATGAAACTCAGTTCAGTATTTATTTGTTTACAATTCAAAATGTAATCCATTCTGTTCAATTTCATTTCTATTTCTATATGATCAACAGTAAACATCAGAGGATTGCATTTAAAAAAGTACGAGAAAAAATCTGAAAAAAGTGTTAAAAACAAATTTCGAAAAAGTTACAAAAATGAGATAAAATTATTTGTTTATTAATAATAATGCTCTTTCATATGATGCCATTGCTCCTACTAATAATATATATTTATCATAGCGTTACTTACAATAAAACTAATATTCGTATCGAAAATGTATAGTTCATCAACGAGTACAATGGACATAGAATGTATTTTATATTTATATATTTTATATTCGAATTGCTAAGTTTATTTTTAAAAATTCTAAAATATTGAAATTGAGTTTATTTTTCCAAATTCCAACAGAGAATATAATGTCAGTTTATTCATAGCTAAGTATTTTTCTTCCACACATCGGAGAACATACTAAAATCACTATGACCTATGCTTATAGATCACCATAGATTCGTATCGTACTGATAGGTTTTAGCGTTAGATGGAACTCTGTTCTGTTTAACCGTATAGGAAAACATGAAAATATTATCGAAACACTTACACAGAATTCTTCAGCAACGCTCAGAATTGTTTCAGTCTCTGATAATTATGATACTACAACGATGATGGAAAATGATAGGCGTGAAACTGTATCGCCTTTTCTACGTACGTGAATTGCTGTAGAAGGGCGATCGGGATCAGTTTAATAAGTCTCGACATCTCTTCTTCAGCGTCTCCAAAAGTCCACTGTCATCATTTCCCTCCACAGACAAATAATTCTCTTTTAATGTTTTATCTTATGGCAAAGAAATAAAATCAAATATTGGATGGATTTGATTCTTCGACTGATCAACTTTGTTTTATTCTTTGGTTATCATTTGCAGTTCGAATTGTGAAGCAGAAAAGAGATCAATTACTTTTACAATACTGTTACAATGAATAAATCACTAAGATAAAAGCATTTCACGTTTTCACGTCAAAATTGAGAGTACCTTACAATTTATGAATAAACGTTTTCTACCTTTAAAGCAAATCATTTTGGTTTTCCAATGCACAATCGTTGAAAGTTGTTCAAAAAAATGAAATAATTGTAACAGATGTTTTGTAAAAATTTCATATACATAGCTTAGCTTTTGAGATAAGCTATAATCATTGGCGGAATCAGTCGGAGAGGTGTGTATAAACGAATAATTGCTATGTTGGCTAATCTCTGAAAAGCTTACCGACAAATGCATTGGCATTTGAATTGAGTGCAATTTTCATTTTCAATTCTTCATGAATCAATTGTGCAAGAGAAATGATTTTGTGTCTTAAAATAAAAATAATTTTCATCATATTTTCAAAATTTCCTTTAGAAAAACTTGAAAGATTATTCAACGAATCAATAAGAATAATCCAATTCATATTTGACAGTTCTTTTGTTCTTTTATTTTAAAATATATTAACATAACGTTAACTTAATATATGTCAGAGTATATTTAATTATTCAATTTTTACTAAAATTAAATTTACTTAATTATAAGATTAATAGTAGAAAGAATCATTACACAGTAAAAGATTTTGAACAAAGCACTAAGAACTTGCACTCATTTTAAAAACCTAATGAGCTCCATTTCACAGTTTTGTTTTATTTTGAAAATTTCCATGAATGTTTGTTAGTCTATGAAATAATCAAAGGAATTTATTGAGGAAATATCATAAATGCTTTGTTGGCTACCATATAGCATTTTTGTGTTTATATTCTTGGAATCGTATATTCTTATTGTTCCATCACTCCTCTGATCAAATAAACAATAGCTGGTAAACAAAGAATGCGACAAAGTAGAGTTGATCAATGACAGAATCAGATCCATCCAAAGTTTGATTTTATATCTTTGTTCTACGATTATACACGGAAAGAGAGCTAACTGCTTAGGGAAATGATGAAGAAATTCCATGAGGGAAAATCTGAAAAAGATTCCGTGACGAAAAATCCCCGAAATTGATCCCTGATCAAGAATTTCTTCAATGAGAAATCAATTAATTGATCAATGAGAAGAAAATGGTTTGTTTTAGAAAAAATCGACAAATATTTTAATTTTTTATCTGATATCAACTAATTAATAAGGTTATACCATTCAATATTTGATAATTTCTTATCCTTAAATTTGCTTCAAAGAAAGTTAAAAACTGATAATAAATCTCACAAAAGAATCAATGAAACGATTTTCTCATTCGCACAATATATTTTATGGTTGTGTGATATTTTTTTTTCAAATGTGACCACATACTTTCAGTTGCAAATCGTTTACCTCATGTCATTCTCAATACAAATTAATTTCATACTTGGATTTTTGACATTCCTTAAGGTAATATAACTGTTATTGCAAGTTGATTGGTGATAAAAATATTCTGAAAAAAGAAAAAAACAACTCAGTAATATCTAAAAAAGAAATCTGAAATCATTTCCATCAGCGAACAATTCTATAATAAAAATTATACCGCCCTTCTTACGTACGTGAAATGCTATTGAAGGGCGGTCGGGATCAGTTTAATGTTTTCAACATCTTTCGTCCTTTCGTTTCCTTCAGAATCCCCAAATATTCTACCGTCATCATTTCCCTCCTCAGACAAATAATACTCTTTTAATGTTTTATCTTATGGCAAAGAAATAAAATCAAATATTGGATGGATTTGATTCTTCGACTGATCAACTTTGTTTTATTCTTTGGTTATCATTTGCAGTTCGAATTGTGAAGCAGAAAAGAGATCAATTTCTTTTACAATACTGTTACAATGAATAAATCACTAAGATAAAAGCATTTCACGTTTTCACGTCAAAATTGAGAGTACCTTACAATTTATGAATAAACGTTTTCTACCTTTAAAGCAAATCATTTTGGTTTTCCAATGCACAATCGTTGAAAGTTGTTCAAAAAAATGAAATAATTGTAACAGATGTTTTGTAAAAATTTCATATACATAGCTTAGCTTTTGAGATAAGCTATAATCATTGGCGGAATCAGTCGGAGAGGTGTGTATAAACGAATAATTGCTATGTTGGCTAATCTCTGAAAAGCTTACCGACAAATGCGCTGGCATTCTCAATTCTTCAAGAATCAATTGTGCAAGAGAAATGATTTTGTGTCTTAAAATAAAAATAATTTTCATCATCTTTTCAAAATTTCCTTTGGAAAAACTTGAAAGATCTTTCAACGAATTATTAGGGATAATTCAATTCATATTTGACGGATATACATGAAAGAGCAAGTGCTATATTGATTAACTTCTAAAAGCTTTACCGACTGACATTTCAACATTTCAATTGATTGAGGTTTCCATTATTGAGTAATTTTTTTGCTTCTTATCTCACAACTCTATTTTGCTGATCAAAAAGCAATAATTATTGCTAATAAACGAACACAACAAAATTAGATTGACAAAGTTCAGAATCATATACTTCAAAATTTGATTATGTGTCGTTATTCTAAGTAATACTTGAAAAGAGATGATACTATTTATGGAAATGATGTACAAAAATTGAAACGAATCTTAAAAGGGAATCATATCGAAGCCTTTAGATTGATTGATCACCTAAACTAGTATCATCTTTAATTAGATTTCAATTATGCAAGAGGTATAACTTTATGGACATTATAAATTTCATTATATTTTGTCCTGTTTTACTCCATACTTTTCTATTTTTTCTATTTTTGAACTTTTTTTTTTTGCAAATTAGGTAGCAAATAATTTCATTTCAGTGAATTTAACATAAAACAAAATGAGAATAGTTGGAAAATAATTACAATTATTCGTTTATTTCTTTTTTAAAGATTATATTATGGTAAGTGTATAACTTTGGTTATGATAAGTTATAGTATTCTGTGATTGCATAAGTGAGTTTATATTTTAGATATGTACAATATGACATCAATAGATTTAAAATTATTAAAATAAGTTAAAATATTTGTAAATTAAATGTATTTAAAATGTGTGTTACTTCTTAGTACTTTGATTTTCACGAACAATTCCAATCTTCCACTAGGCTTATCTTATGTAATAACTGTTTCTACAACTTTTATTCTTATGATCAAATAAATTTAATCTTAGCAAAAATCATAGAATGCTCTGAAATACATATATACATTAAAATAAGTCGTAGTTCAATGATAAATATTAGTTTATTAATACTAGTTGTACTAACATTTGAATTTGATATTAGTTCTTTCAGATTTAATACCTGACAATAAAAAAAAAAAAAAAACAAAAAATCAGTTATTTTTTCTTGCCAAGCAGCGAGCCAAGTCCACCAAATCCTCGACCAAACATTCCACCACCATAACCCCTGAAAATTAAAACAATTAAACATAAAATATCAACTCAAAATGTCATTTCCCATATTCAAATTTCACAAATTTACAAAACTGTAATTTACCATCCGGGTCTATATCCACCGTAAGGCCCGTATCCACCGTAAGGCCTGTAACCACCGTAATATCCACCTGGGTATCCCCAACCATAAGATTCCACATATTCAAATAACAATAGGATAACCAGTAACACCAAAATACTTTTTGTGCCTTCCATTAAAATCTATTATTCACCTGAATGATATTTTTGTTCTGAAAAATACGAATATGAAAGAGGAAGGAAACGCTTGAATTATTAAAAAGATTACGCTGAATAAAGTTTCAATTGAAGATTTTAAGTATTTGAAATAATATGTAACTAACTGAAAGTATTATAAAAATTCGTCGTCTTTTTGTAGTAATAAAAATGCAGATCAAATCATTCATACTTTCCAGAAAATTATAAATTCCAGAATAATTCCTTTCTAACAAAAAAAGGATCAAATATAAATGAAAAGTATTCGGAAAAAAGTATTTCGTGCTAATATAAATGCATTTGCTAGATAGAATTCGGTATTTTAGCAAATTTGAGACATTAAGATAAATTTTTTGCTAATAAAATCAAATTAAGGTTATAGCAAAATTATTATTGCAAATTAAATAGAAAATAAAATTTGAACAGCTCCATCCAACAATGAATGTTGAAAAATAAAAAACAGTTTATGTTATGCGAAGTTTTATAAACTGCGCAATATGAATGCTACTGTAAGTTTCCGCCTCTTTCACGCCTTCATTAAATGTTTTTCAAGTTTTTACTAAATTAGAGAGTTCTCTAGCACTACAAAAATTTACACCCAAATTTAAAATTGATCAGAAAAAGAAAATTTATTTTAGTAAATACAATTTCTCAAATAAACGAGAAATTTTCACACTTTAAGTTCCTATTACGAATTCCAGTTCAGAATGGAACACTTGCTCATATTGCAATAACAAAATAATTTTGTGTAAAATGTCATTCAGTATATATAATAATTAAATTAGCATATTAGCGCTAGATTTTCTGAAATTCCTCAAAGAAGAAGATTTCCGGAAATTTTTCCGAATTTTGGATAATTTTTCATAATACTTATAATTTTTCCGATAAGACAGAATTTTAGAATGCAATGATTGTTCAGTATTCATTATCTTTGAAACGAAAGACGTCGCCATTCCGAATACAGTTATTGCACTTTGCGCATTTCTGTTTATTTGTATGAAAATGATTTTTGACCGAATCTCTCATTTAATTTGAAAATAGAAAAAAACATATCTAAACTATTCGTTATTACCAGTACATGCTCACTTATCATATAATGTGTAAAATGACGTAGAAACGTTGGATACGTAATAACGTCTATATTAATAGAAGTTCACGTATACAATGAAATGGATAAGAATTTAGAAGGAATGAAAACAAAGAATTCACTCTTGCAATATTAATAAATCTTTTTATTTTCACTTTATTCTGAAACTTACAATCCATAAATTTTATCGATAATTATAAGTGTTACATTACTGAAATTACAGTATTCTATTCATATGGCATTTCAGTTTAGTTTTGTATAAAATTAATGAAAGAACAAATACGACAAGTATTAATACTTAAACAATGTCATTTCATGTCAAGTAAACAAGATTATCAGTTTATTTACAGGAAGGAACAGCAAAATAATAAAAATTATATATTGTTTGACACATAATTTAGGTGACAGACTAATTTTTCTAAAATTCTTTAAAGTTTTCTGAAGCAAACGTTGAGATATTAATTTGTTCCAAGCAATCTTTCATCTTGAATTGATGAATGTAGGAGATAATATGATTTTATGGATATTTAATTTTATCATATTTTTAGGTCGCATAAATGTTTCCATTAGAAATAATCACAAATACTTTCCATCCCGAGTGAAATCACTAAGAAATATTTCAAATCTTAACCTTTTAAAATCACATTGAAAGCATTTCTATACGGATCCTTCATCCTAAGTAATTATACAACTTTTCATTATTGCCTTAGACAAAGATATAAAATCAAAGTGTTTGAACAATTTTAAACAAATTTCTATGGAAGACGAAAATCATTTGCTTTAAAGGTAGAAAAGTTTATTTATCAATTGTAAGGTACTCTCAATTTTGACGTGAAAACGTGAAATGCTTTTATCTTAGTGATTTATTCATTGTAACAGTATTGTAAAAGAAATTGATCTCTTTTCTGCTTCACAATTCGAACTTCAAATAATAACCAAAGAATAAAGCAAAATTGATCAGTCGAAGAATCAAATCCATTCAATATTTGATTTTATTTCTTTGCCATAAGATAAAACATTAAAAGAGAATTATTTGTCTGTGGAGGGAAATGATGACAGTGGACTTTTGGAGACGCTGAAGAAGAGATGTCGAGACTTATTAAACTGATCCCGATCGCCCTTCTACAGCAATTCACGTACGTAGAAAAGGCGGTATATTATATTATTATAAAATTGTTTGCTGGTGGAAATGATTTCAGATTTTCTTTTTAGAATTTTTCTTCTTTTTAGACATTATTTCTTTAGGAATGAGTAGTTTTTTTCTTTTTTTAGAATATTTTATCACCAATCAACTTGCAATAACAGTTATATTACCTTAAGGAATGTCAAAAATCCAAGTATGAAATTAATTTGTATTGAGAATGACATGAGGTAAACGATTTGCAACTGAAAGTATGTGGTCACATTTGAAAAAAAAATATCACACAACCATAAAATATATTGTGCGAATGAGAAAATCGTTTCATTGATTGTTTTGTGAGATTTATTATCAGTTTTTAACTTTCTTTGAAGCAAATTTAAGGATAAGAAATTATCAAATATTGAATGGTATAACCTTATTAATTAGTTGATATCAGATAAAAAATTAAAATATTTGTCGATTTTTTCTAAAACAAACCATTTTCTTCTCATTGATCAATTAATTGATTTCTCATTGAAGAAATTCTTGATCAGGGATCAAATTCGGGGATTTATCGACACAGAATCTTTTTCAGATTTTGCCTCATGGAATTTCATCATTTCCCTAAGCAGTTAACTCTCTTTCCGTGTATAATCGTAGAACAAAGATATAAAATCAAACTTTGGATGGATCTGATTCTGTCATTGATCAACTCTACTTTGTCGCATTCTTTGTTTATCAGCTATTGTTTATTTGATCAGAGGAGTTATGGAACAATAAGAATATACGATTCAAAGAATATAAACACAAAAATGCTATATGGTAGCCAACAAAGCATTTATGATATTTCCTCAATAAATTCCTTTGATTATTTCATAGACTAACAAACATTCATGGAAATTTTCAAAATAAAACAAAACTGTGAAATGGAGCTCATTAGGTTTTTAAAATGAGTGCAAGTTCTTAGTGCTTTGATTTTCATTAACACTTCAAATCTTTTACTTTGTAATGAATTCTTAATCTTATAATTAAGTAAATTTAACTTTAGCAAAGATTAAATAATCATAGATACTTTGAAATATATTACAAGTAAATGTTATGTTAATATATTTTAAAATAAAAGAACAAAAGAACTGTCAAATATGAATTGAATTATTCTTACTATTTCATTGAATAATCTTTCATGTTTTTCTAAAGGAAATTTTGAAAAGATGATGAAAATTATCTTTATTTTAAGACACAAAATCATTTCTGTTGCACAATTGATTCGTGAAGAATTGAGAATGAAAATTGCACTCAATTCAAATGTAGCGCATTTGTCGGTAAGCTTTTCAGAGATTAGCCAACACAGCAATTATTCGTTTATACATACCTCTCCGACTGATTCCGCCAATGATTATAGCTTATCTCAAAAGCTAAGCTATGTATATCCAAGTTCAAATTAACTTATAAAAACTGAAATAACGAATGGCTCAATTCTAATAACCATAACACTTTGTACTGATTATTCTACGAGAATAACTATGGCAAATTCAGAGCTAATAGAAATATCAAAGCAATGACTTTTGGACGAGCGCACCTGTCACATTAAAGTAATCGATCCGTTAATTGGTGACATTGAATATTGTGTCGTGGACAGATCCGTCAACCTGATTTATTAACATTGGGTGGTATTTGTGGATCTATTATGGTTGTGACCGTTAACGGAGGATATGGGTTTGATTCCGGAAAAAGAGACAAGAAAGACTATCACATCGAAGGAGGAAAGCGCAAATTACCCATGAGAGGGCCAAGGTGTATAGCATTTTACTGATTATTGAATATCTATTTTTCTTGATTAGAATGTAAATAATTGCTTGCGGGGACAAACGAAGTTTGTGAAATTTGGACGGAATTTTATTGAGTGATATCAAAAAGTAAAATCAGTTTTTTATTTTCATTCAAAAGAAAATGCATTAATAGTTCAGAAAAAGTTGAACCGATGAAATTAGCGCCAAGAAGTGAATGTGTTAATATTCGATATACGATCATTTGAATATCATTAAGTCATAACCAGATCATTAAGAAATGCAGTATAATTTTTTGTTGTGCGATTTTTTAAACAATTCAATTTTTTAGGCATAGGAAATCTAAAGCACTATACAAATTCTTACTTAGTAGCATAAAATTATCTTAAATGAAGTAAAAACCAACATCAGTTATTTCTTCTTGACCGATAATGCTACTCCAATTCCATCGAAATTTGTACCGTGCATCTCATCACCATAAAATGGAGACCCAAAAACAAAACACAATTAAGTAGAAAATTGTTTTTTATGCATAAATTTATTTTTATACAGACTTAATCAAATTTTCATTTAATTTCTTCCATTATATACACTCATCTTTGGTATAATTTTCTTGTTCTCACTGAATTTACTTCCTTTTCAGAATATTTTTTTGTACCCATTTAAAGAAATTTAATACAAAATAAAGAAAAGTTTTTATAATCCAAAAAAAGAAGCAAAGAAAATTATTTTTTAATTAAGTTAAAAAAAAAAAACCACAGCCATTTTTTTTGTGGCTTAAATTTTGTAAATTTCTTAGAATAAAAACATACCATTGATCACCATTGAACGGTCTATGTCCACCGTAATATCCACTACCGTAATACGGATATCCCCAACTATATGATTCGACATTTGTATTTGCTAGTAAAATAATCAGTAGCATCAGTAAGCTGTTTTTCATATTTTCAATTAAATCACCTTGAAAAGAAAAAAAAAAAAAAAACATTGATATTAAGGTGCGAAAAGAAAAGATTGAATGATTAAAAAAGTATTACATTGAATTATTCACTGTTTTATTTCTTCAAAATTGTACTGCGCAATTTTGCAATACTACAAATTAAGCAATTTTGAAAATATTTTTAATTATAAAATAAAGTATAATGAAATAACGAATGCAGAAAGAAATTAATGTTCTATTTGTAAATATCAAAGCATGGATTTGACATTTTTAAAATTTTTCTGCGCTTTTGGATCAATTTCTCAACCGTTAATTTAAGTAGTTATACTTAACACTTTTAATAATAAATACTTATGCAATAATAAAATCAAAATGATATTATGTTCTGTTTGATAAATTTGTGTTATATAATATATTAACTATACTTAACATACTCTCGTTCTTCTCCTCTTTAGCAAAAGTTTTTGAATTATAATAAATTCGAGAATTCTAAGCTACTATAAGTATTTGTAGTAGTTTAAAAGAAAAAAAAATATAAAAAAAGAAAATGAAAACATGAAAAAAGTTTTCTGCTTTTTTTTTTTAAAAAAAAAAAGAGAGAAAAGAAATACTATCTCAATAAATGAGAAATTATCAAGCATTTATATTTTCACTAGGGAATCCAATTGTATTATGCATTATGCTTTAGTGTTATTATAAAAATATGCTTTGAATGAAAATAATAGCTCAAATATAAATAACACAATATCATTCCGTTAAACACATTTTGCGTATTTTATGCAAAAAGAAAAAAAAAAATGAAAAGAAAGCCGACAAAAGCAGAATTTAATGTTATAAAGCATACTTCCATTTTCATTTATCAAAAATTTTACATAAATTTTGACTATTTTCAAAATGTTTGCCTTTTTTTTTTTCACTGAAATTTTTAAAACAATGAATGTTGGTAATTTCGAAACTGAAAAACTTTCATTTCCATGAAAAAATTTATTGAAGTAGTTGTAAGATAGTTTTAAATAAAATATTCACCGTACGTTAGGCTAATGCTTTCTGAACCATTTTTGAAATTAATGTAATATAAATAACTAAGAAATGATTCCACATTATAAAAAAATACATTAAAAAGATATTTAAGTGGTTTAAAATGTGAGTTATTGTTTTTTAAAGTACTGTGAATGAGGCACTTAACATAAATTCTACCTTTAATTTTTTTTTTTTTTTTTAAGAAAAAAATTTTCGAAAAAAAATGACTTGAGATATTATAAGCTTCTTCCATGACAAATTATTGTTATAGCATTCTATTATTACTTAAAAATTTTATTCGTTACAAAATTACAAATCACTTATGGAAGTTTGATCCACTACTAATTAGCAGTATTTTTTGTCATACAGTTACTATCTGTAAGTTATTTCCAAACAATCTGTTATATGAAATCTGAAATAGAAAAAAAGTGATCTTTGTTTATTTTAATAGAAATCAGCAATTTTTATGATATAATTGTAATGAAAATAAAATTAGAAAATCTCACAATAAATTGATGACTTTATTTTTCATTCAAAGATTCTCACATTGTTTCACTATCCAATCAACATTTAAAAAGAAGCAAATATTGGAAGTAGATGAATGATGATCGTTCAAAAGTAATATAATTATTAGATTTTTATATTTATTCTTGTTTATTCCTATCAAATTTTATAATGACCAATGTCTTTGCAGGATATCTAATAAAAAATTGGAAAAAACAAATTTAAATTGCCTCTTTTTTTATTTTCTTCGAAACTGTGGTAAGCAAACTTAATTAAAATTTCATAACTGAACGAACTTTGGGAAAACCTAGTAAACAGGTGGTTGCAGAGAATCAATTGATTAAATGGTGATAAATAGAGAATAAAATAAAACTAATCAAACGAAAAGTCAAATCTTTTTACATTTTAAATTTTTGATGTAAGATAATAAATGAAGAGTGATGACAGCAAAACTGCTGTGACATTTGACTCCAACACTTTTTAAAATGCAATTGTCGTATGCAGCAGAAGCAGTTTAGTTTTATTGATATTAATTTAAGTTAGCTTAATAGCATAATAATAATTGCTTCATTCAAATATTATATTGTCATCTTATAAAATAATGTTTTGTTTATTTGTTGGAATATTTTTGATAGCATTTATTTTTTTAAATATTCCTCTCCTTCAGGAAAAAAAAGTTGTTTTATTTATTCTTCTTGCAAAACATTTAGAATTTCAAAAGTTTTTAATAATATCTTTTCTATTCAGATAAAATGCAATGAGTAAAATCTATGTAATTGAAAGTAATATTAGAAAATGTAAGAAAAGTGTTGGAAAAAATAAAAATAATTTTATAAAATTTTTTGCATCTGAACAATCAAAATATTTGGGCATTAAAAATTTCTTCTATCATGAAATACTTTATCCATTCACATGTAAATTCATGCAATATAAACTTTATATATCCAAAACACACCAACTAAATCAATGATGTCTTGAACAACTTGTAAATTCATTCAGATGTAAATTTTGCCATTTTAAATTTATACTTTTATTTATTCAACGGCTAAATTGCTGTAAAATGTAAAATAGCTCCAGTGTTCACAGCTTTTATTCCAATAGAATTAATTCACAAAGGATATCAAATATTTCAAATCATTTCAATATAAAAAAGATTGTTATCACCTGGAGAAATCATTCCATTTTTTTTAAATCATGCATTTATTTAAATTTTTTCATTCGTAATTTTTTCATTCACATATGTTTATTCCTTCTGTTTTATCTCATACTCATAGATAATACCGCTACAGAATTATCAGTATATTGTAAATAATGATTAATATTTCGTGTAGAATAGTTTTCAAAGAATAAAATCCGTTAAAACGGATTCCCTGATACTATACATTTGCCTGTACAAACTTTCAAATTCGCAACTAAGAAAATTTCCCTCAATAAAATCCCTCCAATTTTTTGATAGATAGATATTTTTTGTTTCCTTGGTAAACAATCACTATTAAATAGTTTGTTTGTTTTTAATTAACTGTTTATTAAATAATTTGTAAAAAATATTAGAGAATTATTACTATGTTGAAAAAAATATGGCGGAAATTAATATGCGCAAAAGGACAATCATTTGTTCGCTAAAAGTGTAGTCAGTCTTTAATGTATAATTTCTCATTTGGAACACCTATGAATATTATTTTTGTGAAATTTGTTGCGTTTAATTGCGCATTTTCCTGTACGTAAATTTGATTGAATAATCGATAGTTTAATATTCAAATATAAAAATAATTAATCGATACTTATTAAGCAATCGACATATTTGCATTTGATATCATTAAATCTTCCAAATACAATGATATTCTGATAAACGTATGACCTTTTCAACACTTAAAAATAAACAAAATAGAATTGAAATGAATACGAAAATATTTTATCAATGTTTTCAAGTAAAAATATTAATTATTTCTTCTTGCCCAGTACAGCACCAGCGATCGCTGACCCTGGATTAAACGCTGGGAAACTGAAAATAATTGTGATAAGCTTTTGATTGAATCATTTTTACATTAGCATCTATCTCTCAAATTATCATTGCAAAATGTGAAATATTCTAAATTACTAGTTGAAAAATAAATCTTTACAAATTAATAAAAAATATAACTTACTCTCCAAAATCTTGTGATTGTCCACCGTAATATGAGTATCCCCAACCAAACGACTCTACATTTACGATTATTAATAAGACAATCAATAATATCAATATGTTCCTCATTTTTCCAAATTAAAATCTGATAATTACCTTAAAAAATATTGGTATCGAAGCACGAAAGTGAACATTTATGATTTTGAAAAAAAGTTGCGCTGAATAAAGCATATGAATTAGATTATAGAATTCAAATATTAGAATCTTATACAACATTTATAAAATAAGAGAATGAAAGTCGAAGTAACACGAAGTTTTATAAATTACGTATGTAAGTAACGCTGTTTTTCAGTCTCTTCCTCTGCACTGATTATTTTTGACTTTTGAATGATTTAAATAATTCCTTACCAAATTAACTTTTAAAATTTGTTTGTCACATCAATTTAAAAAAGAATTTGTTTTACCTCAATAAACAGAGGATTTGAATTCCTATCAGATGATACAAATGTACCTGTTTAAACATTTGTATCATCAATAAATTTGTGCAAAATATTCAATATACAAGATGATCTGGACAGTTTAAACAATTTAAATTTATTTGAAATTTAGAAAGTGTCGCATTATACTTCTCTTAGATATTCATTTACGCTTAGCAAACATTCACTGTCTTCTAATTTGGAATGAAAAAGGTGACTATTCCGAATATAACTGTTGCACTTTACACATTTCAGTTTATTTTTATGAAATTGATTTTTGACCGATTCTCTCATCTAATTGAAAATGGAAAAAAACAGATCAAAACTATTCCTCATTTCTTGTACATGCTCACCTCACCATATAAAGTGTAAAAAATGACGTAAAAGTATTGGTAATACTGTCTATAATAATAAAACTCACGTGTATAACGAACTGGAAACGAATTTAGAAGGAATGCAAACAACGAATCCTTTTCATGTTAATCTTTTACATTTTTACTTCGTTCCGAAACCTGAAATCAAGCTCATTAATAATCTTACGTCTTACATAATTGAAATTGTGGTACTCTTCATATGATATTTCAGTTTACTTTTGTATAAACTGATGAAAGAATAAACAAGAGAAGTAGCCTCACTTCTTAATATTTGAATAATGTTACTTTATGTGATGTAAACAAGATTTTCAGTTTATTCATAGGACGGACGGAGCAGTAAAATAACAAAAATTATTCACTCTATCGTACAAAATTTAAGTAACACAAAAAACACATTGAAAGCATTGTCCATGAAGAGAGATTTGCATTTTCTCATTTCTCTCCTACAGTATTCTGGGAAAGTACTGTATCGTTAACGAGGTACTGTATTGTCATGGAAGTACTGTATTGTGTTGGCTTTAATATATAGCAAATATTCTTCCGTAAACTTCTAAATGACAAAATAATTCTTTATCATATCCTATCGTCTCTAATCATTAAAATGCTTTGTTTTTGATTTCAAATAGACTTAATAGAATGATTCGAGTAGTGAAGTGAAATGTCATTTAGAGCAATCACTTAAACTCATTTCAGCATAAAATAATAAGATTTATTATCAGAATTTATTAGGACATGAATAAAAAGTATTTAAAAAAAGTTTTTAGATGATTTATTAAACAAATCGCCATAGAGTTCTTTCTGTTTTCAATGTCAAACAAGAAATTTTGTTTTGTTTTGAATGATTATAGTAAAAATTTCCAAACTTTTACAGCAACCTATAGCATAAAACGAGAAATAAAACATGTCAATTTTTTTTTTCTGAACAGAAGAATTATTTTAAGACTTTTTGTTGGAAACCTTGTCTTCTTGCTGATATATTAACAATGTGATGGAATTTCTTTTTATTAATACCGATAATATAGAACTGTTTTAAGGAAATACTACTTATTGTATTATCACTTTTTGCTAATTTCGAATTAATGATAAACATTCCACTAACAAAAGTTTATTTTGCAAAAAAATTTCGTTTTTTATTCAATTTAATCAATGGAATATGCTTTGTCTGATTTTTAAAATCATTCTTTTACTAATTTTTCTTCACATTTCACGATATTTTTTTGCAAAAATTGAGCCAATATAAGCGGATTTGATAGATAATGCTTTTTTTTTTTCTTTTTGCTTCAATTTAGCAATATGTGGCATATACAGTTGTAAGAATTTGTAATTTTTTCACTTCAATTTTCCTCGTATTTTTTTTTTCTTTCATTAATTGAATAAATACAAAAAAATTTATTTCACATAAAACGGAAAGTTATTTCTGTTTTTTTTTTTTTTTTAAGTATTTTCATATTTTTCTAATAATTTTGTAGAAACAATAAAGATTTCATGTATGTTCCCAATTTTGTGAACATTACTGAACGCTTATCTATGTTTAAAAACCTTTTGCGCTTTTTTTTTCTTATTGTATTGTTTACCTTTCTTTCTTCCTCTCCACATATATACATCCGAGACAAATTTATAAGTGATTTTAAAGAATGAAATGAAATGAAAAGTTTTTATATGACACAAAAGCCAATTTAATTGTTGATTTAAAAAGTTAAAATATGCGCGTAATTCCTATAAACACTGCATTTAACAAATGTTTTTTTTTTTTTTTTTTTCAAAATAAATTATTTTTCTCATGGAAAACATACTAATTTTTCATGTTAAAGAGTAGTAATATTTACTGAAAAATTTCTTTCTCTTCTTTCGTCAACTGAAAAAAAAATTTTTTTTTTTCCTATTTTCTTTTTAGTTAAATAATTTTTATGGCACTAAATAATTCTGTGATTTACTAAAAACTCAAAAACAATCATTTGGAAAGAGAAAAAACGAGAAAGAGGCGGAAACACGCAGTTAGCGTCGCATTGCGCTCTTTATAAAACTTCACATAATGTCATCGACTGTCTTTTTACTATTTTATATTCATTTATTATATCAGATTCAGCTGTTAAAATCTTTTTTTTTTTTTTTTTATTTTACTTTCTTTTATTATCATCATCGATTTAATTTAATTTTGTTATTATTGTTAGAATTTACTAAAAACACAAAGCTATTGGATAATGGGAAGAAAATATTAAAATAAACTTTAGACTTTTACTAAGTTTAATAAAATATCTAACTGTGTTGAGCAAGGTACTTATAAAGTTTTTTTTAGTAGACTTGCATTTATATCAAATTCCTTTTTATCAGACATGGAAGTGCTTACTAAGAAGTTATAAAGAGTAAGTAGTGATATTATTACTTAAAAAAGAAGCATTAATTATATATATAACTCACTTAATTAAAATTGGTTACTCAAAATATCTCACAAAACGCTTTATTCAGCGCAACTTTTTTCAAAATCATAAATGTTCACTTTCGTGCTTCGATACCAATATTTTTTAAGGTAATTATCAGATTTTAATTTGGAAAAATGAGGAACATATTGATATTATTGATTGTCTTATTAATAATCGTAAATGTAGAGTCGTTTGGTTGGGGATACTCATATTATGGTGGACAATCACAAGATTTTGGAGAGTAAGTTATATTTTTTATTAATTTGTAAAGATTTATTTTTCAACTAGTAATTTAGAATATTTCACATTTTGCAATGATAATTTGAGAGATAGATGCTAATGTAAAAATGATTCAATCAAAAGCTTATCACAATTATTTTCAGTTTCCCAGCGTTTAATCCAGGGTCAGCGATCGCTGGTGCTGTACTGGGCAAGAAGAAATAATTAATATTTTTACTTGAAAACATTGATAAAATATTTTCGTATTCATTTCAATTCTATTTTGTTTATTTTTAAGTGTTGAAAAGGTCATACGTTTATCAGAATATCATTGTATTTGGAAGATTTAATGATATCAAATGCAAATATGTCGATTGCTTAATAAGTATCGATTAATTATTTTTATATTTGAATATTAAACTATCGATTATTCAATCAAATTTACGTACAGGAAAATGCGCAATTAAGCGCAACAAATTTCACAAAAATAATATTCATAGGTGTTCCAAATGAGAAATTATACATTAAAGACTGACTACACTTTTAACGAACAAATGATTGTCCTTTTGCGCATATTAATTTCCGCCGTATTTTATCCAACATTCGTTTCCTTTTAAAATACACTAATATTTTAAAAAATTCTCTTATATTTTCAATACCTTAGGATAAAACCATTAAATATTCTATAATGATTGCTCATTAAAGAAAATGTTATGCATTTTTACATTTCCTAGTGCTAATTTCAGTCGTATTAATTTTACTCGTTGAATTCTGTCCAAATAGGAGAGATATTAATATTAATAAATGGAGCAAAGTAGGAGATAGATAAAAAACTTTTTTTTTTCTGAAGGAAATATTTAGACAACTAAATTTTGTTAGCTTAGTAGCAAAAAAAAATTAAAAAATAAAAATCTTAACCTATCAAAAATATTCGAACAAATAAACAAAATACTATTTTATAAGATGACAATATAATATTTGAATGAAGCAATTATTATTATGCTATTAAGCTAACTTAAATTAATATCAATAAAACTAAACCGCTTCTGCTGCATACGACAATTCCATTTTAAAATGTGTTGGAATCAAATGTCACAGCAGTTTTGCTGTCATCACCTTTCATTTATTATCTTACATAGGTGTCATCCTTCCCAAACTCATATCTTGTTTAGTTAGAAATTCTAGTTAAATGTGTCAACGTAGTCCGCAGCTGTACGTCATTTTTACGTTTCAGGGAAAGAGTAACAGTTCAAACTTTGTTTTTTTCCTCTGCAATGGTTAATTTCCTACAAATAAACAAAAATGAATAATAACTGTATTCGAAATGATTGCTTTCTTTATTGAAAATTAGAAAGTAATTAATAAATAATAATACAGACAGTGATCACTGAAAAACTTTTTTTTTTTTTTTTAAAAAACTTAACAACCACAAATAATCATTGCATTCTGGAATTCAGTCTTGCTTTTTTTTTTCAAAAATTATAAATGTGATGATAAAATTTTCAAAATTTTCTAACAATATCTCGTTCATGAATTGTCTTAATATATTGAATAAATTTTATAGAAAGTTATTTTCTTTGTGTTACAATACATTTTAACATTCATTTATAAAATTAATTATACAAATAATCCTTTTTTGTTATATTTTTAAATTTGGTGTTTTGGTGTGAATTTTTTTTAATAACATTAATGAATTCTCCATCTTCTTGAAAACTGAAAGACATTCGATGAAAAAAAAGTTAAAAAAAAACAGAAAAAAACATTTAGTACCACATCCTGCAATTTATAAAACTTCATGTAATGTCAACCTTTGTTTTTATTATTTGTTTATTTATTGCATCACTAACACATGCCCTTTTCTTAAATTTATTTGGTTCACTTTATTTATGATTTTCTTAAAAATTAAATTCAAATTTATAATTGCATATTCAAAAAAGGATGAAATTTTCTTCAAGAATTATTCCCTTAATCGCTTATTGTTTTATTGCTTTAAATATTTCAAAAATTATAACTGATTGTTTATTCAGCGTAATATTTTTTATTAATTTAACTTTTTTGTTTTACATTTTGGTATTCTCATTTTTCAGGTCGATATTGGATTTTAATGGAAAGTATGAAAAATATGTTAATTTTATTGGTTATCTTGCTAGCATTTGAATGCATAGAATCCTATGAATGGGGATATCCAAATTATGGTGCTGGTTATTACGGTAGACGCGGTTCCTACGGACTACACAATGGATACGGACCTTACGGTAGTGGATGGTAAATTATTCATTTTTTCTTTTTTGAAAATAAGTAAATTTTAAATATGAAAAATAATTGTCACAGTATAAACTTCACAACTATGCGACACATAAATGTGAGTATATATTTTAAAAAAAAATTAAAATATAATAAATTCACATAAACCCTATAATATTTCTAAGACAAATATTCAAAGCACTGAATCCATTCTTTAAATTATAACAGAATTAAATTAATATTTTAAATAGATAAAGTAAGTCAGTACAAAGTGTTAAATTTTCTAACTATTTTAAGGTCAGCGCCGTTGGGTGGTAGAATTGGTACACCGCATGGTTCATTTGGACTTACACTTACGGGATAGAAGTGATTCATATTTTACAGTGCGTAATTTAATAATATTGAGTGATTATTTATGGAGCAATTTAAGTTTTACATTTCTAACTAACAAAATTGAATTTTTCAAACGATTACACAATGAAAAAATGTATGGCAACTTTTCAATCATCGATATAATTTGGCTTATTAGAATAATATTTCTCAAAGATTTGATATCATATTCAAATGATCGTATATCGAATATTAACACAATCACTTCTTGGCGCTAATTTCATCGGTTTAACTTTTTCTGAGCTATTAATGCATTTCCTTTGAAATGAAAATAAAAAACTGATTTTACTTTTTGATATCACTCAATAAAATTCCGTCCAAATTTCACAAACTTCGTTTTTCCCTGCAAGCAATCATTTACATTCCAGTCAAGAAAAATAGATATTCAATAATCAGTAAAATGCTATACACCTTGGCCCTCTCATGGGTAATTTGCGCTTTCCTCCTTCGATGTGATAGTCTTTCCTAGTCTCTTTTTCCGGAATCAAACCCATATCCTCCGTTAACGGTCACAACCATAATAGATCCACAAATACCACCCAATGTTAATAAATCAGGTTGACGGATCTGTCCACGACACAATATTCAATGTCACCAATTAACGGATCGATTACTTTAATGTGACAGGTGCGCTCGTCCAAAAGTCATTGCTTTGATATTTCTATTAGCTCTGAATTTGCCATAGTTATTCTCGTAGAATAATCAATACAAAGTGTTATGGTTATTAGAATTGAGCCATTCGTTATTTCAGTTTTTATAAGTTAATATGAACTTAGATATACATAGCTTAGCTTTTGAGATAAGCTATAATCATTGGCGGAATCAGTCGGAGAGGTATGTATAAACGAATAATTGCTATGTTGGCTAATCTCTAAAAAAAAACCGACAAATGCATTGGCATTTGAATTGAGTACAATTTTCATTTTCAATTCTTCACGAATCAATTGTGCAAGAGAAATGATTTTGTGTCTTAAAATAAAGATAATTTTCATCATATTTTCAAAATTTCCTTTAGAAAAACATGAAAGATTATTCAATGAAATAGTAAGAATAATTCAATTCATATTTGACGGTACTTTTGTTCTTTTATTTTAAAATATATTAACATAACATTTACTTGTAATATATTTCAAAGTATCTATGATTATTTAATCTTTGCTAAAGTTAAATTTACTTAATTATAAGATTAAGAATTCATTACACAGTAAAAGATTTGAAGTGTTAATGAAAATTAAAGCACTAAGAACTTGCACTCATTTTAAAAACCTAATGAGCTCCATTTCACAGTTTTGTTTTATTTTGAAAATTTCCATGAATGTTTGTTAGTCTATGAAATAATCAAAGGAATTTATTGAGGAAATATCATAAATGCTTTGTTGGCTACCATATAGCATTTTTGTGTTTATATTCTTTGAATCGTATATTCTTATTGTTCCATAACACCTCTGATCAAATAAACAATAGCTGATAAACAAAGAATGCGACAAAGTAGAGTTGATCAATGACAGAATCAGATCCATCTATCGTGAAAGGTTTATCTGGTTGATATTCGAATAGTTGCAATACAGTAGGAAGATTAATAAACCTTTATTTTTTGAAAACGTGGTATGAATAAACCAAGGAATAAAAAAGAGAGAAAATTTATAATAAAGAAGAAGACCGTAGGAATTGCGTTTGGTTAACAGAGTAGTAGTCCACAATAATGACAATGATGACAATGATGATTGTTTTGTTTATTAGAATTGAATTTATATGTGTGAGGATTGGACGTGTTATCGGTTTGTTTATTGGAATTGAATTTATATGAGTGAGGATAGGGCGTGTTATCGGAGCAATTGTATGAAGAATTGGAAGTGTTTACAACGAAGAGATTAAAAATACATGTGTGAATACCGTAGGATTGTTTACAATTTAAAAAAGAGAGATAATTTATGATACTATGAAATTGGTTAGAAGTTTTCGCGAAATTATAATTCGCGACACTCCCAAAGGGGGAGAGAAATTGTCTTAAGATGTAATTTTGAGAGAGTGATTTTGAGGTATATAGCTAAATGTACGGAGTTTAATAGGTGGGATTTCTTCTTTAGTTAGAAATTGAGTGTGTGGTGATTCTGTAGGGAGAGTAATGATGGTAGCTTGATTTGAATTTCGTTTTGAAGCATTACAAAGGAGGGGTTGAACTAATTTAAATTTCCACTTAATAATAACTAAAATAGTTAATATTGTCACGATAATTATATAGATAAAAATCAATTTCCAATGTTTTCAAATTCTTCTTCTATCGGTAGAACAATTTCATTGAATTCCTTTTCCATTTGTTTGCTAATTTCTTCTCCTTCTTCAGAGATTTCTTGCCAAAAGAGTTCATCCTTCATTTGATGTGGTATTGAATTAATTGTTTTTTGGGTTTGAGTTAGGATTTCCAATTCTGCATTAATTCTTTCAATTTCAAACTTACTTATTAAATCTCCTTTGAATTCGATATTTTCGATTGCTGATTGTTCTGATTTGCAAGGAGCCACCATCAAATTCCCGTTAATTCTTTTAGCTATCACATCGTTTCTTTGAAATATTAGTTTCGTGGCAAGGGTAGGATTGCTGATTGATAGCCATTTGATCAAAAGTAATAAGTTATTTCTGTTTTGGCAACTTCTCTGCTGTGTTTCTTTGAGTTGTTGAAGGAATTCTTGTCTTAGTGAACCAGAAAGGTATTGAAGTTTTACATTTTCAGGATCGTATTTTCTATCTGGAGACTTTTCTATCATCGATAGTTTATTTGTTACTCTTCGTTTGAATTTTGTAATAGAGTTCGAGTCATCTTCAATGTCTAGTTCAATAACTATATCGCCCTGCATTAAAATTGGAGAGGTGAATCTACAATTTTTGGTGTTTAATACAGGGGGGTTTTTATCAATTATAAGCGATGCTTGTATCTCATCGATGATGAAGTGGTTGTTATACTTTGTAGCCTTGAATCTTCCGATCTTTCGATATAAACAATGATTGGTCGTATCATTGCTATTCCATATGATAATGCTAGTATTCGTTATGCATTCACCTATTTGTGTCGAACAGTCTTTTATATCTTCAAGGTTAGAGACTAACCCTCTTCCATCGTAGATGAGAATTTCTCCTTGAGTTAATATGAAGTTTGAGGTTGATTGACAGCTAACTCCTAACCATCCATAGGAATATTGTATTTCCTTATTCGTTATCCATTGATTAGGAGAAGATTGAATCAGTCCAATTCCGTTCATTTGTTTTCGAACATTTAAATATCTGCAGAATTGTGAGGAAGTTGCGGTAGTAGACGTATGGTCTGACACTACCGATAGCGATATTCTGAGAAAAGCTTTCGTGCATACAGTCCGTGTAATGTTGCTACATTTTATAGCTGGTATTCTTACATGGGTGCGTGTGTACACATCCACTTTGTGATATGTAGCATTTTTGTGAATAATTTCTTCACAATTCCATTTTTCAGGAATATTAAAGGGTACACCAGTAATCCAATTACAGCTATTGTTAGCTAATACTTGTCTTGGTATTAATGCCATCATCGTTATTAATGATAAAGTTTTTATCAGAAGATTAGACTTGTCTTTTGCAAAGACTGTAGTCTGTGATTTTTTAGCACTTCTGGTTCGTCGAGCAATGGGTTCTTCTGGTTCATCTTCCACTCTTTCTTCTTTATCTTCAGTAGCATCTATTTCCATAGGATAAAGCATATTTATTGATCGATCGATTTTTTTTTCACTCGGTAATTGTATTGTTGCACTCCTTATTTTTCCATCCCATCCTCGATTAATTTTTATTATCCTTGCCAATTTCCATATACCACGAGGTATTTCTGGTTCATTTAGTAATACTATCTCATTTTCATGTGGTACTCTTTTTTCTACTATTCTCGGTGATTTTATTTCTCTCTGTGTGCGTTCTCTAAGACTTGTAAGATATTCTTCTTTCCACAACTTCCAAAAGACATCTAATGTGGTAAGAGTGGTGGTCCAATACTTGACTAATTTATCTTTAGTCTTTATTGTATAAGGGGTATATTCATCTTGATCACTATCATAATTTATTGGTAGATCTAATGAAGCCATAGGTGATATAAAATCAATTGGACGAATGATTCTGTAGTCGTCAAACCAAACCCTACATAAGTTAATGGACGGGTATTAAGGATTCCTTCTATGTCAACTATTAATGTTATTAATTCTCCTTCCTTTAGAAGTTTTCTTCCTATTGCTCTTCTTAATGCTCTTTTTGTGAGTCCTACAAGTCTTTCATATACACCACCACCCCATGGTGCTCTTGGTATAGTATTTTTCCATATCATACCCTTTGTAGCCAAAACGTTAGCGTTTTCTTCCATAATGATTTTGAATACCAGTTGAAATTGGCTTGCATTATCGCTTAATATTAATTTTGGATATCCACGTCGAGCGATAAATCTTCTTAAAACATGTGAAAAATTCTCGGCAGATAAATTCTCCGCCATTTCAAGATGCACCGCTCTGGTAGTAAAGCACGTAAAAAGTGCTATCCATCTTTTGACTAGACCATTATCAGATTTGACTGAAAGAGGACCCATATAATCTAGGCCGACTTGTTCGAAGGTTCTGGATCGTTCTACTCGTGTTTCTGGTAAACTTGGCTTCGCTGGCAGTTTAAATGGCTTAGCTTTCCAGCGAATGCAATAACAGCATAGGTTTATGATTCGTTTTACAGCAGTTCTTTCTTTCGGTATCCAATATTTTCGTCTTAATTCAGATAACGTATGTGCAATACCTGCGTGATATAATTCATTATGCTTGTGTAAAATAATAAGATCAGTAGTATAATTATGATCCGGTAAATATGTAGGATATTTGCTTTCGTCCATTAATTCTGAATTTTCCAGTCGGCTCCTTAATTTCCATAAGTTATCACTTTCATCTAGATATAGATTCCATTTTTCCTTTTCGTCCTCCG